CTGTTGCCCCTCGAGATTTTGAAGGCTTTGAGGGAGAGGAGGGGGAACCTCAACCTGATGTCGAGGTTGAGGAGATCGTAAATCTTGGCACCGCCCTGGGACTGGAGGTTGACGAGGAGGATATAAACGGCCTTGTGCATAAACATCAAGAGGAGCTGTCAACGGCAGAGCTGCAAGAGTTAGAGGCGATGCAGCACTCATCAGTACAGCAACAATTCAGCGAGTAGGAGGAGGCCGTCATACCATCGGACGATATCAAGTGCATTCTCTGCACTTTTTAGAGGGTGGCCGATTTGTCAAAAAAAAAAAAATCACCCTGAAAAGAACTTTACCGCTCGGGCTATTGAGCGTTTTGGTGACGTCTCACTCTCCCACTTCAGATCCATTTTGAAAAGTAGAGAGAAACAGATGTCGTTGGATAGATTTTTCACAAAGAGGCCGGCAACAAGTCAACCTTCAGGTGCAAGTGTGCCTTAGAAGGCGAAAAGCGATGAAAGTGGCAGAAGTGGTTAGTTAAAAAACATAAAAATGCACAAAAAATATAACATAAAAAAACAAAGGATAAAATAGAAAATTTGAATTTTTTTAAAAAGTTTAAAAAATATGTACGTTTTAGTTTTAATGTTTAGAATGTTATGTACACACAGTATATGTATGCATGCATGCATACAGATGACACACACACACACACACTTATTCCTCTAATTTTGATTTATTGGTAATATTTTTACCCAAATGCGATACTTCTTAAAATACAAGCAGACATTACAAAGAAAGTTGAAGTGTTAATAATTGTGTAAAAATGTCTGAATGAATACATTGTTTTTGTTGCCTTTTTTTGTACTTGTAGTGATTTTAGATGGCAGGGCTGTTGGTGGATTAAAACTTTTTGTTAATAAAATATAGTTTTCTTTGGTCTTTAACGTGCACTTCAGTGTCTGTTGCACTACCTCCTTATGTTTAAAACCTGATTAATCTTTGAATTAAAAAAAATTAAGAACTTTACACCCTAATGTTATGCCAGTTTGCCCCGTGGTGGTGCTGTATGTATCCATGCATACGTATGCTTTCTTCAGCCTCCACTACCAAGAACTTCGTCTCCAGCCAGCATCGTCTCAGTCAAAAGGCACGATGGGTGCTTCGACTTACGAAAGACCGTCAGGAACGGATTCATTTCGTAAGTCGAGGTTCCACTGTATTAATTTATCCGTTTATTTCTCAGGTGATCGTCGTGAGGGCATCAATACAGCTGTGAGCACAGATGTTCAGTCTGTGTTCAAAGGAAAGACATACAGTCAGCTGCAAGCACTGCACCAAAACATTGAGGCAAAGATTCGGGCTGGAGGATCCAATCTTGATATCGGTTATTGGGAGAGTTTGTTGCAGCAGGTCAAAGTCTACATGGCCAGAGCAAGGTATGACAGTGATGTGGCAATGCCCACTGTTTTTGGCTGGCTTAATAAAGTTAAGTCCCATCTTTATGCAACTTAATATCACACTGCTGTCTTTTTTGGCCAGGGCACTCTTATAGAAGAGATTTGTAATCTCAAGAGTCTGATTGTTTAAAACTAAATCTAACTTTTTATGCTGTAGGCTGAGAGAACGACACCAGGAGGTGTTGCGTCAGAAGTTGTTCAAACTGAAACAGGAACAGGGAGTAGAGAGTGAACCTTTGTTTCCCATCATCAAAGAGGAGCCTAGGAGTGAGGAAGATGAGTAAGTTAAAATGTACAGACCTGAGTTGCAAATTCCTCTTTGCACTATTGCAAGAGGTGCACTGTAAAATCTAAACCAACATTTCCTTATTCCAGTGAGAGAGGAGGGCAAACTAGAGAGAAAAAGAGAAACACTGAAACAGAGCCAGAGGAGGGTCCGTCCACATCTACAGCAGGAAACCAAGATGAGGAAGGTGGCGAAAAGGGTGACAAGAAGGATGGAGAGGAAAAGGATGAGGTTGTGGAGGCTGTTCTGACGGAGGAGGACCTGATCCAGCAGAGCCAAGCGGAGTATGACTCGGGTCGCTACAGCCCCACGTTGCTCATGCAGTCTGAGCTGCCGCTGGACACCCACACGATCACCCCAGAGGAAGACGCACACCGGCTGCAGTTAGCACGCAGACAGCTCCAAGTCACAGGTATGAGATGACAGCAAAGCATCCTCGCTGCAGAAATGTATAACCATGCATATTGGGAACTGTAGCCTCACTGTTTTCCCACTTTCTGTCTGTCAGGTGACGCCAGCGAAAGTGCAGAGGACGCCTTTGTGCGACGGGCCAAGGAAGGCATGGGCAACGATGAGGCCCAGTTCAGCGTTGAGTTTCCGGTCACTGGGAAAATGTACCTGTGGGCAGACAAATACCGCCCCAGGAAACCACGCTTCTTCAACAGGGTCCACACAGGCTTTGAGTGGAACAAGTACAACCAGACACATTACGACTTCGACAACCCTCCCCCTAAGATAGTCCAAGGTTACAAGTTCAACATCTTCTATCCAGATTTGATTGACAAGCGATCCACGCCGCAGTACTTCCTCGAGCCCAGTCCCGACAACAAGGACTTTGGGATTTTAAGGTTCCACGCGGGCCCGCCTTATGAGGACATTGCTTTTAAGATCGTAAACAGGGAGTGGGAGTACTCGCACCGACACGGCTTTCGCTGTCAGTTCGCCAATGGGATCTTCCAGCTTTGGTTCCACTTCAAGAGGTATCGCTACAGGAGATAAATGCCACAGATCAGTACGGACCAAAGCCGCCAGTGACTGGGTTTTACACATGCTGTACAGTAAAGATGCTTTGTTGTTTTTGTTTTAGCTGCTCTCTTAGAAAAGCAGTATTAAAGCTTCAAATCACTGTACTGATGTCTAAGAAAGCAGAACTGTAATTTAGTCAAAAAGTTACACATTAAAGATTTTTTTTTCCCCTTTTGGCCACTGTTTAATGGGTTTCATACAAACTTCACGTTAGAGATGAAACAGTAAGCATTTTAAACTCGCTGAAACAACTTAAAGAACATATAGAAATTGTTTAATTACAATAAAATAAAGTCTTGGTAGCTAGTGGTTACAGAATAAGTGGCTCGATTTCAATTACTGTACATTCCCTGTTTAACAAAAGAAAAAAAAAAATCAAACCAGTCATTGCAACATATTCCAATCTGTGGTACTTAAAACAATTAGTAGGAATTTGAGCACAAACCTGCATATAAAACAAAAAGGCAGGAATTCAAGTACATCATATTTGTACCAAAAATAACTTAGTTTTATCAGTTTTGTTTATCAAAACAAGCATTTGAAATGTTTTTACATCCAAGTTTCTATGCAAATATTACTGCTGAACCCCTATTCTCATTAGTTCAGGGCAGAAATGAAACTGTTTCTGTCCCCCCTGCATTGATTTGACTCTAAAGTCTATCTTTGTTAATGTCATGCGCTTCAGCTTTGTGACTCTCAATGTTGGTTGTTGTTACTGTTGCTGCTGATCACCACAGACTTTTCCTCTCTGGGTGCAGCTTGGTAGCTCACACCAGAGTGTAAAGCCTCCTGGTTCTGGCTCTCCTGAGATTGCTCTTCACTTTTACTCTTAAAGCAACTCCAAGGCAGACACAGATGGCCTTTGTAAATGTTCCAGGCCAAAAGGGCAAAAAAAGCAAGCCCCAAAAGAGCACATGCAACCTGCAGTCCTGTAACTGATGCACAATCAGTCTGAGCTTGGGTATCCAGTGTCCTATCACCTGAGTCTGATAGGTCAATTGTGACCAGATGCTCAATTACAGTTATGCTGTGCTTTTTAGCTCTGGAGTGCTCCACAGACAAGCAGCGGTAATGACCGGCATCGCTTAATGAAACATTCTGGATCAGAAGTCCATCTTGTAGCTGAAGTGCAGCTGAAGGCGTCAGATCAATATTGTTCTTCTGCCACATGATTTTTCCCAAGCTGGAAAGGGGTAGACAGCTGAGCTTCAGGTCCTCACCTTCCCGGACGGACAAATTCACAGGCTTGATAGGGTCTGAAATTTCAAGAGACACCCATAAATCCATTTTCAGTTTGACAACTGCAACAGATCACATGCAGAAACGTGCAAACTCCAGAAGATTCAGTTTCATGAATAAACTCACCAGCATCAGGGCAGAGGGAAGCATCTCCAACTTTCACACTTTGAATTATTTCACTATAAAAAAAAGAGCAAGTAAATGGAAAATTAGTTTGAATATACAACATCAATATCACTTGGTCCTTGTCTTTAAAGTGATGCCTACCGGTGTGATTTAGAAATGAAAACGCATTTCCCCAGAGCACTGTTCCAGCCACAGTACGGGTCTCTGGCTAGAACACAGTCCATACAGGATGAGGACCTCTCACAGGTGGCCAGTGGTATCTGGGCTACTCCAGTGTCTGAGCCTGCATAGAGCTGACCATGTACATCTTGGATCTATGACAGAAACACAGAGCACCGATGATGCTGATGTACATTGACACCAAACATATTGAACCTGTTTATTCTTTCTGAGAAGACTCTTTATAAATAACTTAAATATGTGTTTTTTCACATTCTTGATGAATCCCGTCTTGGTGAAGGATAAAAAATAAATAAATAAAAATGTAATGGAATTCCTGAAACAATATCACTACTGAGGCATCAGCTGTGATATAAACTTTTTTAAATGAATGGTTATCTCAAATTACCGTGATATTTGAGAATTTAAGAATCTTGATTGGCTGACGGGGGTGGAAGATTTGTACTTCCTCTATGATGAACATCTCTCCGTCGTAGTTCACAGCTTTCAGCACTGTGCCTTTGTCTTTTGTATAAAAACAAGAAAACATATTTACATGCATAAAGTCCAGTATGCTTACCACTGTTAAGTCATCAAAAACAGCAAAATGGACAATAAACAGGAAGTGACAGAATGATGTACTGATGCAAACCTGTGCCTATAAACATCACGGGGTACTTGTTGCCATCTGCAGCTTTCATTTGGTTTACTATGATTTGTGTGAATGTAGCTCCTCTGCGCACCAGTAGAGGTTTATCTCCTATTGGCTGGATAACCTGGTCCATGAGGGGCTTGTCCTTGACAAACTGAAGGGTTCGGTCTGGTAGATCCAAAGTTTCATGTATGCCCGCTTTACGAGCTGCATTATTTATACACTAGCAAAGGATCAACAAAAAGGAAAGAGAGAGCAGGGTGCAAAAAGGAATCAGCTTCCTGCTAGGGTTTTCTTAAAAAAAAAAAGAAAAGAAAAATGCACAAGGGAATTTTGGGAAGACTTACAGCTCCAGGCCGAGGGACGGGCACTTCTCCGCTATACATCACCCACTTAACAAAGGAGGTTTCTACGGGGACTGGGGTCTTGTACTTCCCCTCTGCAAACACTCGGCTTATGTCTGACACGCGGTACGCACACACTGCAGACAAGTCTGATGTGTCCCTTAAATAAGCACACACACACACACACACACACACCAAACATGCAGGAGATCTTAGCCAACTGGTGTCCTAAAGACATAAAAGAGGAAGTTAGCCTTTTCCTTCTTACACAAACATGTCCAAACTTACGACTGTGCTGTGAAGACGGTGTAAAAAATACAGCTCTTCCAATCCTTCTCGGGGTCACACCAGCGGTATGCGTCCCGGATAATGTACGGCAGCTGGGACTCCAGCACCGGACAGTCTATTCTAGCTTTCAAGAAGGTTGTCCACTTTTTCTGCAAAGTCCTTAGACCGCCAAGATCCCCCTGTGAACACAGAAATTCATAACAGGAGGAAAAATACACATAGCAACGAAACAACGGAAAGGGCTGCAGGAGCACAAATGGAGGAAGTGCCATTTATGTGCCATTGTCATTGGAAGTGCATGCAATGTAAAACCTTTTATCACCTTACAGACGCGGGCCACGCGGGACACCACCAGTTTGTTGTAGCAGTCACACTCCACAGCGGTCTCACTAAAGAACAGGTAAACTTTGTCGCCATCTCCGCTTTCACTTTCCTTGCTCTCTTGCATCTGAGCCATGGAAACAAAGGTGGGCTCTGGCACAAGAAGAAAAGAAATCTTTAACTTTGACTCAACTAATAGGTTTAAAAAAAAAAAAAAATTTTTATATCTTACCATTAAGCCAGGAGCTTTTAAACTCAGTCCGTATGTTACCAGACGAGCGTATTAGGACGGGTTCAGAGCCGAGGAAGTTCATTGACGTGGCTGAGTAAAGATCATCACCTAACGAGACCAGAGAGCAAAAGAAAATATGTTTGCTCTGCTAATCTTTTCAACAGGTTTCTTAGTGTAGTTGGCAAATTTCTACCTACCTGCCATGATTGAAGCGTATCTCTGGAAAGGATCAAATGGACACTTCCCTTTGCCATCCTCCGCCTTCTTCTCAAAAGTCAATGCATCACCTGAAAAGGACTGCACCGGCAAACACCGTTTTATCTTTGGAATTATTCTGCACTTATTGTGAAGCTGATGAAAAGCCACAAAAACCATCTATTCAATCAGTTAGTGAATTTATCTCACCATGTATTTGCACTCGGGATCAAAAGCATTGGTTCCACACACATACATTCTGTCATCTCCCACCTCATGCAGGATCCTGATATAGTTCAAGCACTCAGTCTGTGAAAGGAATTCAAGAACCAGTGACTGCCTCTGCTTAATGTAAATTGACCTTTACAAAACTACAATTAACCAACCTCTGCATTTTTTCCTTTGTTTTTACATTCTGTCTTATTTGCTGGAGTTGCTTCCCATGCAGCCTAAAAAAATAAAAAACACAATTTTGGTCACACTTCAAAAAAATTAATAGAAGTTCTGTTGAATAGGGTAAAGTTTGGGCCTGTCATAATAACTGATTGATGACAAACGCTATGACAAGTCCACAACTCTGACATTGCTTTCATTACTGGTCACACTACTCTGTGTGGTAGGAGAACATGTTTCTCAGGGCTAACAGGTTTTCTGCTGTACAGAACAATACTTCCAACGTTTACATTTTTTTAAAGGAAGCACAGCTGCTGTTAAGATGGTTAAACTGTGAAGATGTGGCTAAAATTGTTGCTGAACAGGAGGTGTTGCGGCTCAAATGAGATGATCTGCTTTAGTATGTCTGCTAGCTTTGTTTACACTGTGTTAAGAATCAACGGTCAAATACGCCATGATATTCGCCATTTTTTGACTGTAGCTGATCATTAATGAGGTGCAATCTGAGGTGAAAACAGGATAAATTCATGTGAAGGAAGAGTAATTTAAGGACAAAGTTTTAAACAGGTTTTTTTCCATCTTTGAAAAATGTGTCAAAACTCTGGTTATGAGACTTCCTGTTAAGCTGGTGGTTGGTAAATGGTTGTGTCTAAATGATCACATCACACACACAAAAATATACATCAAGAATTGGACTGTGCACATTAGAAGAGTTAGATCAGTTCACACTGTTGTTGAGGAATTAAACAAATGAACCCGTGTCTTTTGTTTGCCTGAAGTTAGGCTCTCAGGAAGCACCATTTCCAGATCACAGATGGATCAATTCCAGCTCGCCCCTACTCCCTCCTACTCTGCAACAGAGTGGGACTTTCACAGCTGTGAGGAATAAGTTCTGTCTTGTTGCCTTTTGACAACCAGCATGTATTTCAATGGATCTGTGAGCTGATTTTTACTCAGCGTTCATGGTAGATAGAGTCTGTGAATTTTTCACAGAACCACATGAAAAGGGCCAATAACATCAGTGACTCAAGCGATGGGCGAACATTTTTAGCTTTCTTTTCTTTGATAGATGTTGAAACTGTTCTATCAGAATGACTTAATTTATCCCCAAGGGGCAATTAAGATACAACAGAGCAGCATGATGTTGAAGATAAGGACATAATAAATAATAACTAATAAATACACAGAATATACAGTATGTACACAGTTTCAAAATAACACTTTTTTAAAATTAAAGTGTCTGAATAGGTGAATAAATAACTGTAAGTGACTAAAAGTGGGTAAAGTGTGGGCAGTATAAAAAGAGTGTAGAGTAGTTTATGTTTATGGGTATGGGAAATGGTCTTATCGGCTATGTTGGGCACTTGCCCTGGATTGGTGAAAGAGATTGCTTTAAAAGGAATAAAGTGGGTGCTGCCTGTTTAAAAAAACCAACCAACCAAAAAAAACGGTGTTCTTACTGAAGCACGTTTCTGGGAGATGTTATAGAGGTCAAGTGCGTACACTTTTTCCCTAGCACCAAGCATGAGCACGCCTTTATCTTCTATCAACAGCATGGTGGAGTAGTTATAGACATCATTCTCACTAAAAAAACGAGCATTGTCCCCTAAAGGAAAAAAAGAGACAGCAGACAAATGATTAACTTGGCAACCACCAGTGATTAAATCCCATTTCCTTTTGAGTCAATCCAAATTATATGAGCTAACACAAGCTGACGCACTGTAAGTCAAGTTGCAAGTTACACAAGACAAAAGAGCAGCACTTACTGTGATAAGGCACAGATCTGCGGGGGATGCAGTTCAGTGGTAAGTTTTCCTTGGCCATCAAGGCCAGAGGCAGCAGGCAGAAGACAGTGAGGGACAGCAGCAGATTCATGGCTCCTTTTGCTCAAGCTCAGAGGATTTTTGGCTTTATTGTTTCCTCAACAGTCAGTCATAGAGCGGTAAAGGCGGCAGGGTGGCATCTATGACGTGATGTGGTCTGTGGTGTTTGAAGGGTAGCAGCCCCTTTACTGGCCCCGCTCTGCAGGCTGTCCATGGGGAGATGGATGGCACGGACCAAAGACACAAAGGCGATGGGGGCTGAAAAATACAAGGGTGTACAAGATATTAAAAACGGTTCATGAGTAAAGAAGGAAAAGTATAGAATCTTAATGGATGTACAGCACAACACCAGGACAATAGCTGACAGGGGTAAACATTAAAGTGCATCAAAACAAAGAGTAAGAAACTTAGCCAAAAAAAAGGGGGGGGAAAAGAAAGAAAAGAAAAAGTAAAGTAATCGCCAGAAAGGACAGAGTGAGCTAAAGTCAGCACTGCAGTAATTCTGTCAGTGCCATAGTGATGTTAATGCAGGGCCATGAAAAGCATTCAGCAGGGTGCAGGGATGTCAACCTCAGCTCTCCTGCAGCACCAAGCACCGAAACAATGAAAGATTCACACAGAGTGCCAAATTCTGGGCTCGATTAGAGACGAGCTCTTGCACAAAGTTGGCTGCAAGGAAGTTAGATGCAAGAGTGGTTTCACTGCACAGAGCAGGAAAACTGAGGTAACCTTTAATTAGGTCGTTGTTACAAAAGGAGCATCTGTTTTCATTACTCTCACGGTAATCAAATTTGAAGTAATGATGTGTGTGTTACCTGATGAGCCACAACATGTCAGAGAATGCACCCCGATAAGATTATTTAGCCTTGAGGGCCAATCCCAGCTTCACTCTACACCCACACGCAGGCGCACACGCACACGCGCACATGCGCACACACTCACAGCACAATGCCTCTCATGTTTACGTTCAACTGAATCTGGACAGTAGAACAAACCCGGTAAGTGTGTGAAAATCAATGTAGAAACAAAAATCCATAAAATAAATGAGAATTTAACAGTACGCTACTTAGCTAAACTAGTTATAATAATAGTAATAAAGTACGTTACCCCATGTAGTGAAGCTTTAACGTGAAATTCACCCTGAAGCTGTTAATAAAGTAGCTCTTGCAGGTTAGCTAAGAGTGAGCAAACACTCGAATCACAAGTTAATGTCTTACCTGCGCACGGACACACCCCAAGGTTTCCTCTAAGAAAAAAAATAGTCCCAGCACCTGTTTACGACATATTTCACCACCGCTTCACGGATAGTTTGATAGTTTAAAAAACAAAAACAAATAAACAAGGCAAAATCAAAAACTCCCACATACCTTTCTTTAGCAAACACTCAATAAAAGTGTGAACAACTGAGACTAACGTCTAACGTACCCCAGAGGTGTCAGACGTTGGCCGTAGCCAGCAGCTTCACTGAGGTTTATTATCTGCAAGCTTGCGTCTAAAAATCAGCGACCGCACAAAAAATTAAAAAGGAAAGGCGCTCAAGCAACGGCTCAGCAGCCCGTCAGCCTCCAGTGAGTGTTTCTAAAGACACAGCGGTGCTTCGTTTCTGTCCACAGCCTCTCTCAGCGGTCATATCCCTCGGTCGGTGAAAGGATCTGAATGGCCGGGGCTCCTACTCCGGACAGCCGCGCAGGGTTTTTTTTGTTTTTAAACTAGTCCCCCACACCCCTTCAGAGTGTGGCGGAAGGCGCTGACCTCCGGTCTGATTAAGTGTTCGTTATAGTACTACTACTGTCGGTAGAAGGCACAGCTGACTCCAGCTGGGCGGATCAGGTAAACCGTAAAAACACCTGGCAGCGTGTCCAAACAGGAGTGATGAAGCAATGCAACATAGCAGGGCGGCGTGTTGTTATCTGCCCTCCACGATGGAAACGATGTATTTACATTAATGCCACCATCATCTCCCTGCATGTGCAATATTCTGGCACTATAATAATCCTGCACATGCACAGAAATATGAAAAGCGCAGAGAACTGATGCATATTTGTTATGATCTTATAGTTAC